GGCGCGGCTATTACCCACGGCCTGACCGCGGCATGCGCGGAGTCCGGCACCTGCTCCGCGCGCCGCCCGCTCTCTTGCGAGTCGGGCGGAGCCCGGCGGGCGGAGGAGGGAGGAGGCAGGGGCGGGGACCGCGGCCTTAAAGACGCCTCGGAGGACCTGCGCGGGCCAGGGCCCAGTGCCTCGGGCCCCCGGCGGGGGAGCTGCGCGCCTAGGCGGTGGCGAGCGCGTTGACGCGGGCAGCTACCTTTGTGTAGCCACCTGAGGGGGCTGGCGTGGGTCTGGGGGCAAGGGGATGGTGCTCTGCACGGTTGTCCGCGTCCTCTCCCCTCGGAGACCGGGAGTAGTGCTTCGCGCCTCCGCCCGCGCCGCCCCGACTTGCCGGGAAGGGGACTTGGGAAGGGACCGCGCCGCAGGTCCCCACACTGAGGCTTTTCTCGCCCCCACTGTCTTATCGGGTGGCGAGGACCTGTCTCCGCGTCTCCCGGCCCCACCCGGCGGCGCCCAACACATTCCTATTCGTGCCTCCGTGTGTGTGTCTTTTCCTCCCCCGTATTGTGAGAAAAATCTACGAGGTGAGGTTTGTGCAATCGGGTAATCACCGCGCCTGAAAAATTGTTTGCAGACCAGTTTTTCTTTCCTTACAAAGCGTATGTCTGATCATAGGCGGAGCATTAAGACATCTGTATAGCTAAAGCACAGAAGGCTTGATCATCGCGGAGCTAAGTAGATGGAGACATCAGAGTAAAACATGTCTCTAAAAGAATCAGAGACGGTTTTTTCTAGTTTCACATTTCGAGTACTGCGTTCCCTGCACAGCCAGCTCTCTCTCTCCAAACAATCTCTTTTTAACCCGGGGAAGCAACTGCAAGGATTAGCTATACTTTGAAAACATCATATAGCCCAGCAGAGTTACACATGAATGGGCTTATTATAAGGTTGAGGGCAGAGTGATGGGAGGGAGTTTATAAACAGAACACTGCGCGTGTAGGTCTGTAAAATTATAGGGAGACACCAGTACATTTCTGTTGTACATAACAATACATTTCTGTTCCAGCAACAGATAGAAACCACAAAGATGTTCAAACGCCAGTAGTAGCTTTTATGAAAGTTAAAAAAAAAAAAAAAAAAAAGCTGGTAAAGATTACTGGCAGCTACTCAGGGAAGTTCTCAGAAATAAATAAGTAGCCACGTTAGTTTCCTCTGAAAACTTTCTAGGTGGAGAGGCTTCTGCTTGGGTTCCCAGCTTGACAGCTATGGGGCAGAGGCACGGGCAATAAAAGAAGTAACCAGGACCTTCCTACTGGCTTTTCTGGCTCTGCAGCCAGGTGTGGTCAGGTCTGTTCTACCAGATTTGTGATCCTCTTGTTCCCTCCAGTTTGGGGCTTTCCAGCAAGAGCCTGAGTAGGGATTCTCCCAAGGAGTTTAGTGCCTGGAGCTCATCATCTGGACTGAGGGCTTGGAAGAATGAACGGGAAGAATCTAGTGGGAGATCATGTGAAAGAGGGCTGGCTGGAGTGGGCCTGGGACTCCTGTTATAATGTCAGAAGGGGTTCAAGGCTGAAAGATCGCTACCCCGTGAAGGAGGCCAGATGTCACTCTAGAAGGTGGGTGTCTCACCAAACCCACCACAGACATACCAAAAAAACCAAACCCGTTGCCCTCAAGTAGATTCCAACTCATGGCAACCCCGTGTGTTAGAGTAGAACTGAGCTTCATGGTGGCACAATGGTTAAGCAGTGGGCTGCTGACTGAAAGGTTTGGGTTCCAACCCACCAGCAGCTCTGCGGGAGGAAAGACCTAGCTATCTGCACCCATAAAAACTACAGCCTGGGAAACCCTATGCGGAGGTTCTACTCTGTCCTATATGGTCACTATGAGTCGGAATCAACTCGATAGTGACAGGTTTGGCAGAAGCAGACTGCCACATCTTTCTCCCATAGGGCAGCTGGTGAGTTTGAACCACCAGCCTTTGGGTTAGCAGCCGAGTGCTTAACCACTGCTCCACCAGGGCTCTTTCCATAAAGGTTACAGTTAGTAGTCGAGTGCAATCCGTCTGCACCGCCTAGGGCCTTCATCGCAGACCAGGGAGATGACATTTCCATGACTGGCCCCTAGAGACAGATGACCACTGGACATGTCACCTCCACCCCCATCTGCCTGGAGGGTTGATTGTTAGTTGCCATTAAGTCGGCTGTGACTCATGGTGATCTTATGTATAACAGAACAAAATGGTGCCCAGTCCTGTGCCATCTTCATGATCAGCCCTGGAGAGTAGATCATTTTCAACTCTAAACACACAGCCAGGCAGGTGAACACCTCAACAAAATAACTCTGTCTGAAAGGAGGAAGAGGAGGGAGGGGCAGCAATCAAGAACATGTCTCCTGGCACATACATAACCAACCTTCTCTTTCTCTCTCTCTCTGTCTCTCTCTCTGTCTCTCTCTCTCTCGCCAGACACCTGGCCCATATCCAAGTTAGTTAGCACCAGCTATAACCAACTGAACAACCAGGAAGATTTCAAGCAAAACAAAAACAAGTAAAATTTTAGTTAATGAAGGAGAAACTATGTAAAATCTCTGCCCCACCCTGGCGCTGGGACATGACAACACCAATTATTTTGAGAATTGTGCCTGTGATCCAGCAGCATGACAGAGAGTGGGAAATTCCAGCTCCTTATTTTGAGTCTTTGACAATGAATTCAGTCACTCAAGAATAACTTCAAAGAATTCATAAAAATTCACTAAGTTCTTTCAGGGAAATTCTTGAGTCAATTTTTTTCTCACTAAGTAGAATGCTTTTTCCTTTGTGCTCAAAACTTGACTTCCACTCACCACTTCAAAAATGACAGGTACTAAGAGACATTTTTTTTAAAAAGTTTAGGGTTTTAGGCATCTTAACTTGTAGAAAAATAACTAGTGAAGAATCAGACTCTTTACACTGCTGTGTTGTGTGTTGGCCTTCAAGATACCCAAATAAGTCTACATGACTTTGCAGTTAGTTGAATGAACAGTAAGAGTTCCTCTTCCTATAAATCTACTTGTTCCACCCAAGACATAATTTACACTTGAAGAGAAAACCTTAATACCTTCCCCCCTACACACACACACACAGACACACACACTTACACACTTACACACTTAATTCCATGTTTGAATAATTAAAACTCAATGTTCAAATCTTGACAGACAACAGAAATAGTACTTTTGCAGATTTCAAAAATTGAAAACAAAATATTTGCGAATAATGAAATTATTTACATAGGTGACTATTTAAATTCAGCAAAACCAAAGATATCTCTCATCTACAAGAATATATATATAGAAAGAGAGAGAGAGAAAAAGAGAGAGATTCAGTCAGTCAGTCCTTGTGTGGTGCAAATGGATAGGTAGTACACTCGGCTTCTAACGGAAAGGTTGGTGGTTCGAGTGCACCCATAGGTACCTTGGAAGAAAGACCCGGAGATTTACACCCAAAAAAATCTGCATTGAAAACCCTATGGAACACAGTTCTACTCTGGCACACACAGGGTTGCCATGAGTCAGAATCAACTCAATGGCAACTGGCAAATATGTGTGTGTGTGTGTATGTGTGTGTGTACATATACTGTGACGGTTAATGTTACGTGTCAACTTGGCTAGGCCACGAGTCTCAGTTTTATGTAATTATCTTCCATTTTGTGATACGACATAATTTCCTCCTATTTGTGATCTCCCATAACTAATACAATGTAATCACTTCCACGATGTGATCTGATGTGATCAGCCAATCAGCTGTAAAGGGAGTTTCCTTGGGGGTGTGGCCTGTACCCAGTATATATAGGAACATTCTGGCAAAGCTATGTAACTTGTTCTAGATCTTGTTTCTGGCTTGTCATCATCTGACCTCTGGTTCTTGGGACTTGAGCTAGCAGCTTGTCATCTGACATGCCAGCTTTGGGATTCACCTGCTCAGCAGCTCTTTGAGCCAGCAGCTTGCCATCTGACCTGCTGATTCTGGGTTTGTCAGCCCCTGCAACCACGTGAGTCAGGAGAAGCCTCCAGCTGACACCTGACCCACAGACTTTGAGACATACCAGCCTCCACAACTGCATGAGCCATTTCCTTCAGAAAAACATCTCTCTCTCTCTCTCTCTCTCTATATATATATATATGCATATATATATATGCATATGGAGCCGTGGTGGTTCAGTGGTTAAGTGTTTGGCTGCTAACCAAAAGGTCGGCAGTTGGAATCCACCAGCAGCTCTTTGGAAACCCTATGGGGCAGTTCTACTCTGTCCTACAGGGTCGCTATGAGTCCGAATCGACTCGACAGCAGTGGGTTGTGGTTTGTTGTTGTATATATATATGTGTGTGTGTGTGTGTATGTATATGTATATATAAAACCAAAACCCATTGTCATCAAGTTGATTCCAACTCATATATATACACATATATATATATATATACTTCACTAGTTTTGCTTCTCTAGAGAACCCAGCCTAAGACATATACATAAAAGGCAAATGCTTTCATGTTTAACCCATTTAGACAATTTTTTTAAATGCTATTTAATAAAAAACAAGAAAGAGTTTTCAGTGAACTGAATGGTCTGGAAGGCAAGAGGATGAGTTTTTACTTGAAAGCGGTTACTCACAGCTGTGAGAGGAACCTAGGGGAGGTTGGTTTGTGGATATCCTTTCTTCATAGCTCTGTGTTTTTTTTAACTTGGATATATTTTACTTGCTCGCTGGTCTAGGGAAAGGGTTTTTTAAGGAATTGTATATGACCTTTACCTAAGAATACAATCTTTATGCCTAAAATGTTTGTACACAAGATGACTTGATCAGGCATGCTAGGGATTTCATTCATCATACTCCAAGCAAGAATTAAAGACAAACGTTTATACTTGCAGATGCAAATTTCCTTACACCTTAAAGACTATGTGTCATAACAATTATGCAACACCTGGTTATCTACCCTGGGAATTTCATCAATTATAGCCCTGAGGCCCACAAATCTGAACAGAAAATTCTCATCCTGAGCAATAACCGCCAGTGATCAAGTGCCTCTCTCCAAATTCTCTCGAAGATTTGATAAACAGCAAAAGGTAAATCAAAAACAATGTTAAGCCGGGTTTTCATCGTGATTGTGGAAGAAAGCTGATCCTTCCTTTGGGTTTCTCTCAGTTACCCACAGCGTTTTCAGTTTTCTGAATGCAGTTCATCACTTCATTGTTTTTTATAGAGCGATAATGGCAAGGTTGGTAACAGTGCACCAATGTAATTTTTCTTTTGGCTACTCTTTCATCTTCTTTTATTTTTCCTTCCCCCTCCTAATTTTGAACCTTTGATTGAAACATGCACTACAATTTGGAATCATAATTCCAAAATAAACTTAGCCATTGCTTGCATAAATAACCGGAGCAACAGCAGCCATAGTCACAATTCTAAAATTTTGTCTCAGCAATTAACAGAAAGTCTTACCTGACCTTCCAGACATGATGAAAAGTAAAAAAAAAAAAAAAAAAAAGAAAAAATCTATAGCTTTAGCCCATCCCCTTTAACAAATATCAAATGTCCTTGACCTTTTTTGAAAGCCTAGCTTGTGGAATACTGTGTCTCTTTCTGTAAAACAAGGGTCAAATTTGTGTCGAGAGAAGCAAGCTGCCCTCCTTTCTAACCAATGGCCTCTTGCCCCCTGCCTTTCACTGCCACCCCGTTTTGAAAGAGCTGCCCAATACCCCATGTCTCTGTGTCTTCCCCCTCATCACTCAGCCTGGCTTCTGCCAGACTGCAAGCGAGGGTACCAAGGCCACCAGGGAACTCAGTGTGGCTTTTCAGCCCTTATCTAACTTGACCTCCATGCCCCATTCCACCATTTTGAAACTCTCCCGCTTTTTAAAACTCTTTCCTCTCCTGGCTCCCATGCCAACACCCTCTTAGCTTTCCTGCTACCTCTTTGTCCGCTCCTTCTCCTACATCCCTGCCTGAAAGGTAGATGGTTCTCCAGGGTTCTACCCACAGCCCCTTTCTTTTCTCATTCACACTCTCTCCAGGTGAGTGGGTAGGTGTTGTGTGTAGAGATTACATATATTTGGGTCATGACATGAAATGCATTTCTTATTGTGGTTTGTGGCTTAAAAATGTCTCACCATTAACAGACACATACAATGGAATATTACTCAGACATGAGGAGAAACGAAGTCCTGATGCATGTCACTACATGGATGAACCTTGAAAACGTTAAGCTGAGCAAAATACGTCTGTCCAAAAGGGCAAATATTGTCTGATCTTACATGAAATAAGCAGATATATAGAAAGCAAAGCTTATTAGTGGTCACCATAGGTGGGAGAGAGGAAAAAAGGGGGAGTTTTGGCTTGGGGGTATGGAGTTTATGTTAATGGTGATAGAATAATTTGGAAAAGCGTAGTGAGAATGTTTGCACAACTTGAAGAATGGAATCAATGTCACTGAATTATACATGTAGAAATTGTTGAAGTGGCATGCTTTGCTGTGTATATTTTCACCGCAATAAGAAAATCATAAGCAAAAATCACACACACACAAAATAATGTTTGAACATCACTGGGCTAGAGCACCTTTTACTGTGCTGGTCATCCATGGCAAAAATATTCACTGTACTGTTTCGTTCTCTAATGAATTGATGTAGGTGTATATTTACATACTTTAAATATAAACATATTTGCGTAGTACTTTGGCACCATATGTGGCATGACAGTAGATCTGAAGCTCTTAACAGAAATCTGCCCCAGGTCCTGATTTTGGGAACGTGTGGCAGGTGTAAGTAGTCAAAGCTTAAGCTGCCGCAGGAGAGAGAAATCACGCAAAGAGAGATTTCTAAAAGCAAATGGGATCATGACCCTCCTCTGTTTGAAATCCTGCTTAAAATTCCTTCCCTCTTCTTATTCCCTTCAGGCTAAGTCCAAACACCTTAGCATTGCATACAAGGCTGTTCCTGGTCTGGCCCTTGCTTTCTGCTCCAATCTCTTTTCAAACACTCATCACCCCTCACCCCCACCCATACATCCTTTCCTCTCTCTGCCCAGTGGAGTCCTTGTGGCTCAGTGGTTAA